TAGCAGCTATGCCATTTTCCATCCCCATCAATATTGCATAAGAATTCCAGTCTCTCCACATTCTACCTTCCACTTGTTTTTATCTTTTGTTTTTATAATAACAATCAGTCTGATGTACTAAAGGGTGGGAAATGGTGGTTTAGATTTATTTTTGAGTAGGTATTCTACTTACTCAGAAATAGATGAAGTAAAGAGGAAGAGATGAATAGTGATTAAACATTAATCATTTACCGGCAAACATTGCACATAGGTGGAATTTTCTTTAAAGATGAATGTAAATTATTAAAATGTCAAAAATGAAAAGAACAAAAATAAGATTTCCTTGAGGGTGTCTCAGTTTGGAATTTACTTTGCTTTTGTTGAGACAAAAGCAAACCATAAACAAAAAGTTTAAAAAAATAAAATGCATATTTCACTTTGGTTCTTACAAATTAGTTCTTATATTCTTCTTAATTAGTATATGCTTATTTTGAAATAAATCTTCTGTAGGGATTTTAAACACTTACGCACCAGAGTCATTTTTTTCAAGAAAATTTTTCATGGGAAACAATCCTATAGATGCTGACATGTTGCTGCAAATGAAACAGAAATTGGGTACTTAATACTTAAGCCTACTACCATGAGGTTGTAAGCAGGCATTTCTGCAGAAATTTGGTGCTTCTGGGTCATAATTTAAAAGCTCATGCACTAGGCTATGGTAAATTAAAATTAGTTCTAAATAAATATTCTATTTTATTATTTGTCAAATTATTTTAAGCAATGTTATGGATAGCTAATTAGGTAAAGAAAACGATATGGGTGTGAAAGATCAGGCTCCTTCTTATGAACCTGGGGTTTATAAACTTGTTGAGAGAAATAAATGGCTTTAGATTAGTTAATGAATAATATGTAGCTGCAACCAAGAGAAGTGCTATGAGAAATAATTACTTGTTTTTTTTTAAAGTAGAAAAATGAAATTTTAAATAATTCAGGAATAAAAGAAAACCTTTCCTGTGAAGTAACTATTAACAGAGATCTGAATATGTGAGTCCAATAGGTCTCACAAAATCACTCTAATTTGTCTAAGATAAAAAGTAATAGACAGAATGGGGATAGGAAGCCTGGGTAAAAAGCTATGTCAGCAGCATTAGTGAATGATAACAGCGATTCAAGAGGGTGGTGGATAGATAGAAAAATACAGATGAAGCTACAGAGATACTTAGAAAGTAAATGGATGTTAAGTAGTAAAAACCTAATGATAAGAATTTGGGATTTTAGACAATGTGCAATCTCGATTAAGGACAAAAATATCTAACATCTAATTCATGAAAAAAGCACAAATAATATAAACTAGAGACATAGAGATCAAATAGAGCTCCTTTACCAACTAGTGGGTCAAATAGGACAATATTATCACAAAATCCTTTCACAAATAATCTATGACTTAAAGGCGATCCAGAAAAAAAAAAAAAAAAAACCCTGTGAAATTCCAAAGTTGCCTAAGTAATTAGGGAAAATATTTTTTAAAAAGGGGAAAAAAATGTAGATTTAAACTGTCATGCTAGATACCTAACCAATGTTATTTTAAAAGTATGCTATAGACACAAGTACACAAATGTTTCAGGAGTTTTGAAACCCTGGAGGAGACCAGAGCCTTTTCTGGGGACCAAGGTACATTTTAGAAATGGCACTCTTTGAAATGGTAGATAGATTATTAAAATATAAATGGTTTAAGGACAAGTTGTTATTTATACAGAATAACAGAGACAAAAACAAATTTCTGGTAGTTTATAAAATGAAATACAAAAAATAATAAAATATAATTCTATTATAAGAAATATAAAAATATATTTATGACATCTAGGTAGGCTTCACTAAACCACCTGATAAAATATTAACCATAAATCAAAACTGAAAATATTGCAAAACTAAACATATCATAACAAAGTTAATGTACAGTTTCAAATCATGAGAATATGTTTGCAACTCGTATTATTCAGATAATCAATGCACAGAATATATATGTTATTCTTATCGTGAATAAATATAATAAAAATCAATAGACAAATGGAAAAGTATATGAAAAAGCAATTTACATGAAAGTTTAAAAATCAACTGCCATAGCAAAAAAAAAAAAAAGTGTGTTCATTTTTACTAAAGGTCTAATTTTCAGCAACCAAATCAGGAAATTAAAAATCCCAAAATAAATGCCAGTTTTTGCATGGTGGAGAGAAATGGTTGTTCAGAAACACACTGCTGCCTGGAAGTGAACTGATCCATCTGGGACATTATTGTTTACAATGTGCATACTTCAAAAATTGGACAAGGCTTTCAAGGATTGTACATTAAAAAAGAAAAAAAAACATTATTGCCAGGCTTGCAAAGAGGCGTACTCTGAGATAATCATTGCACTATAATTAACAACTAAGAAAATTCAGAAATAATGGAATTATACTACAATAGAAGAGCTGATAAATAAAAGGGCTAGTATGGAATAAGACCTGAAGTTGAAAGTACTGAACAATATCTATATTGATTAAAAGGCATACATCCAAAGTAAGTAAATATATAAGTATATATTATGGTGTCAAAAAGTAAATTTGTGCATAAAACATATTTTTATACAAATCAAACAAAAATAATCAAATATAATTAAGCATTCATACTTATAGCTACATGTTTACCTATTAATTCAAGGAAACATACGATTTCAAGTGGCACCATGATAGCTCACCAAAAAATTTGTCACAAGTGGCCCATTTGAGAACCTGAGAAATATGTTATTAGATGGAGGGCAGTAGTTGCAACGCATAGTTCTTTTAAAGTTTTAAGCACATATAACAACATATAAATAGTTAACTCTGGCTACTTGTAAATGGGTAAGTCTTATTTTATTTCCTTTAGTTATTCCCAGAATGATCTAATATAGATAAGATCAGTAAAGACATATTAATCAATAGTGCACTGTTGACGACCCATGCCAGAAGTCCCAGTTCCAGACAGGCCTCGGCAGGCCCATGGCTGAACACCATGTGGAGCAGGAGAATAATGCTGTGGCTCCCCAACACATAGCTCCTCCCAGCCTTCCTCCATCTGAGGACACTACAACCATCATCATAGCCTTCCCCTCAGTAGCCTCCACCTTGGGACAACTGACAGGGCATGAAGGCAGCTGCCCCTAAAGCATCCTGTGCCAGAGCACTGTATCTCAGAACAGGTGGCCCAAAGTCATCCTAAGTCTGGCCCTTTCAGCTCCATCTCTTAAAGTGGTCATTTCCATCTATGACACCTGCACTGCCATCTTAGTTTACTTCCTCCCCCTCTTCACAACAACATCTTCAGTTGGTATGGCTGCCATTTTGGGACAGCAATGGAGTACTGGAAGCCCAGCATCAAGGTGAGACATGAGAAACCTGCAGGGACACTTTAAGATTATACAGTAGAAAATATAACACATAGGATTTACAGTGTTAGAGTGGAAGACACACAGAAAACATGAAAAGACAAGGGGAAGAAGTACCCCAAACAAACCAAGATGATATAATAATAGATCCCTTCAACAGCTCAGTAGATGAAATGTCAGAGAAGGAGTTCAGAATGTACATAATTAAAATATCTGTAAATCAAATAATAACATAAGAGAGCAAATGCAGGCAACAATTGATCACTCTGAGAAAGAGGTAAGAAAGCAAATACACATAGCAAAAGATTACTTTAGAAAAGAGAAAGAGATTCTGAAAAAAAAATCAAACAGAAATCCTTGAAATGAAGGAAACAATACACCAAATAAAAATTCAATAGAAAGCATCACCAACAGACTACATAACTTGGAAGACAGAACATCAGACAATGAAGACAAACTATACACTCTTTAGAATAAAGTTGACCACACAGTGAAGATGGTAAGAAACCATGAACAGAACCTTTAAGAATTACGGAATAACAAAAAGACCAAATCTAAGATTTATCGGAATAGAGAATGGCACAGAGCTACAAGCCAAAGGAATGAACAATCTTTTCAATGAAATCATATCAGAAAATTTCCCAAGCACGAAATATGAATTGCAAGACCAATATAAGTGGCTTACAGGAAAGAAAAACTACAAAATTACAACAGATCTACACCAAGGCATATTATAATGAAAATGCTTAGCATACAGAATAAGGATAGAATTTTAAAAGCTTCAAGAGAAAAGTTTCAGATTATATATAGGGGAAACCAATTTAGGTCTCAGCAGATTTCTCAAATC